TTCAGGAAGACTTGGGCTTGTTGGACTCATTTCCAATCTACTGATACTTAATGAAGGAATGAGCGAGAAAGATCTGGAGACACGGAAAGCCTCTAGAACTCTCACCTCAGGATTGACTCTATTAATGGACTTTAACTGAATTGTATCCCTAATTAAAGATAGGATCTGTTACAGCCAGGCCAATGCCAATTGATGTGATTGGTTTGGTTATGCCTATTTAATTCTAAACCTCATCCTCCCCCCCCCCCCCCCCCCCCTTTTTTTTTTTCTTTTCTTTCTTTTTTCTTTTTTTTTTTTCCCCCATATTCCCTATCTATTTGTCCTCTATGTTCCGCCCACCTCATTATGATATTACCTTTCATATTCTTCCTCCATTCCCACGCTCATCTCTTTCTTTTCTTTTATTTCTCTCTTTTGCACCCCCTTTTCTCATACTCTAACTAGCTATATTTTTCATACGGTACGGAACACTCACAGATGTACAGGTGTAACAATAATCCACAAAACTAACCCACACTTTTCGGATATGGAAACATAGGACATATATGCCTTGAGATGATACTTTTGTCTTGCACTTCATAGTCCTGTTATTTGAGCTCTCCCTACATAGAGACTTGTGTATACCGTATTTATCTAAATGACATATCGTTTTCAGTACTGCTATGGTTATATCTTTTGCATCTGCCTTATGCAGGCCATAGACGGGGAGAAAAACGGCAGATTTTTCTTTTAAAAAACGAAAATTCAGTTGTTCAAGCGGCCGACGTTACCATCAATGGTAAAAAAAAATCGGCCGATTTTCATCCCTTCTACAGCCGGCAAAAAGTGTCCCTGCAGAGAGCTCCGCTATTTCTGACAGTTCTCTGACAGTTCCTTCACATGTACAGCGGTTGAAACATTGTATCTATTTGTTTCCATTAGGATACAGATGTTTTTTCAAATAGGATAAAGATGTTTTTCCGGCAGTTCTTTTGGTGTGGCCGACGTTACCATCACTGGTATCAGAAAAAATCGGCCTTTTGCAGATCATTTTTCTACTGAGCCGGCAATTTCTTTGGAATGTCCCTGCTCTTCTCTTTCACTCATAGGCGCTATTTTCCCCTCTGACAGTTCTATGACAGTTTCACATACAGCGGTTGAAACATTGTATCTATTTGTTTCCATTTTAGGATACAGATGTTTTTATACAGAAACAAATAGATACAATGTTTCAACCGCTGTAAATGTGAAGGAACTGTCAGAGAACTGTCAGAAATAGCGGAGCTCTCTGCAGATACACTTTTTGCTGGACTGGAATTCCTCTTATTTTCATCCTACTTCTTCTGCTTCTTCTTCTTCTTCTTCATCCTCATCCTCATCCTCTTCTTCTTCTTCATCCTCTTCTTCTTCTTCATCCTCATCTTCATCCTCATCCTCTTCTTCTTCATCATCCTCATCCTCTTTTTCATCTTCATCCTCATCCTCTTCTTCTTCTTCTTCTTCATCCTCATCCTCTTCTTCTTCATCCGCATCCTCTTCTTCTTCATCATCCTCACCCTCTTCTTCTTCTTCTTCATCCTCATCCTCTTCTTCTTCATCATCCTCATCCTCATCTTCTTCTTCTTCTTCTTCCTCATCCTCTTCTTCTTCTTCTTCTTTTCTTCCTCATCCTCATCTCTCTTCTTCTTCTTCTTCTTCTTCTTCTTCTTCATCCTCATCCTCTTCTTCTTCATCCGCATCCTCTTCTTCTTCATCATCCTCATCCTCTTCTTCTTCATCCTCATCCTCTTCTTCTTCTTCATCTTCATCCTCATCCTCATCCTCTTCTTCTTCTTCTTCTTCATCCGCATCCTCTTCTTCTTCATCCTCATCCTCTTCTTCTTCTTCTTCATCCTCTTCTTCTTCATCATCCTCATCCTCTTCTTCTTCTTCTTCATCCTCATCCTCTTCTTCTTCTTCCTCATCCTCTTCTTCATCCTCATCCTCTTCTTCTTCTTCTTCCTCATCCTCTTCTTCTTCTTCTTCCTCATCCTCATCTTCTTCTTCTTCTTCATCCTCCTCTTCTCTTCTTCTTCTTCTTCATCCTCTTCTTCTTCTTCATCTTCATCCTCTTCCTCTTCTTCTTTTTCTTCTTTTTGTCTTCCTCTTGCAGGTCACTGCTCATGCGCAGATTTTTTATCGGTACAAAATCGACCGATTTGCCCACTAATTGCTGCGAAAATCGGCCGATCGGCAAAATCGGCCGATTTTTTTCCAACTTTACCGAAAACAAAAAACGGACAAAATCCCGAAAAACGGCCGACCAAATAGCCCACTAACAATCCGAAAATCGGCCGATTTTATTTTCGGCCGAAAAATCGGCCGATTTTCGACCCATCTATGGCCTGCATTACTGTGGGACCTCGTTTCATGATGATCTACAATCTAATCTAATGTCCTGATCCCGTCTGCGTTACGGGAGAACATGTAAGAGGAGGTGCACGGACTGCGATCCATATCTGTCTATGACTTGTTTTGCCTTTCATACTTCAATAAAACTTTTTTGGAAAAAAATAAATAAATATTGTACATTCACATCAGTTCCTAACCCTCAAGGGGCATACAATCTAAAGTCCCTAACCTACATTCAAAGGGTACACATACTAGGACCAATTTAGATAGGATCCAATTAACCGATCAGCATGTCTTTGGAGTGTGGGAGGAAACCGGAGTACCCGGAGGAAACCCACACAGGCACAGGGAGAACATGAAAACTCCAGGTGCCGTGGTTGGGATTCAAACCAGCGACCTGAGTACTGCCAGGTGAACGAGCTAACCCTTTAGCCTCCGTGCTTAGAGTGAACTGATACCTTGGATGTACTGAGGTCCAATGTCAGCTCAGTACCACAACAGAACAGTATGTACATGAAATACCAGCTTCCACTCCTAGATCACAACACAGCGCAATCTCAGTCAGTTCTAGATGTCCGGAGATTCAGAACGATGGCCCAGTCCGGAGACGTTTCTTCCCCAAATACTAACAAGTAGAGCGGCTTCCTCACTTTGGGCTCTCAGTAATGTTGTCATATCTCATATTGTGGAGGATGAGGATCATTATAATTATTGTTCCTGAAGCAGCCAGTTCAACGGTTCTTTCCCAGAGAGAGATGAATGTATTCGGATAAAGACACTCGCAACAGATGACAAGATCCAGCCGAATATGTGAAAATATTACAACAAACAGCCCTCAGAGTCCCATTTAAGATACGTCATTATCAATGATAGAGACCCTACACTGTCCAGCATACGTCCGATCTATAATACGCACCTTGGTAGCTTCCATGCATGCAGTCATGTGTGTCCTGATCTGTACCTGTGCGTCCATATTCATCAATGAAAGAAGCTTCATCTTAACAGTTACACTTCCCTTTATAAAAGTGACATGGATAGGGGGCTTCTGCCACGGAAACCTTCACCTGAGACATGTCAGCTGATGTGATCCAACAATGGACTTAGTACTATGCAGCACTGTACCGGAACCGACCCAGTCTGCGCTTGGGTACTCCCGCTTCCCCGACCGAACACCGACAACAGACACCACCACTGACCATACAAGACTAGACGACACCAGTCTTGAAATAAACCAGGAAGGAGACTAGTTTATTTTAACACAGATACAAGATATATACACTCAGGGCACAATCCCCCCTCCCTGCATAATGACACAGGGCCGGACAACCCCTCCTCCCTGCATAATGTCACAGGGCGGGGCAATCCCCCTCCCTGCATAATGACACAGGGCGGGGCTATCTACATTTAGTAACAAGAGACACACCAGCAGACAGTCCCATCAGGAGGGAGGTCTGCTGGAGACACCCCCCACCAAGCCAATACCCATAAACACATACATCTCATAATAGTTTGCTCCCAAGCATGACACAATATAGAACATTGGGATGCAACCACATGGCATTAAACAATCAACAACCCCCACCCCAATATTAGGACAGATCACCCTGTACCCCTAACAGGCACAGGGTGCCTTACACATAAGAGGGATATGGGGAGCTGAGACAGGGGTCCCCCGACCTATCCAAAATGAGCTGTGTTCCATGGGCCCCCCCCACTCAAAGGGACTCCCATCATAGACTGAAATGGGGATTTTTATTCTCAGACCCTATATTGTTTATAAATATATTAAAAAAATGGTCCCAACACTGAACCTTGGGGTACACCACTAATCACACTGAACCTTGGGGTACACCACAAATAACACTGAACCTTGGGGTACCCCACTAATCACACTGAACCTTGGGGTACCCCACAAATAACACTGAACCTTGGGGTACACCACTAATCACACTGAACCTTGGGGTACACCACTAATCACACTGAACCTTGGGGTACACCACTAATCACACTGAACCTTGGAGTACACCACTAATCACACTGAACCTTGGGGTACACCACTAATTACACTGAACCTTGGGGTACACCACTAATCACACTGAACCTTGGGGTACACCACTAATAACACTGAACCTTGGGGTACACCACTAATCACACTGAACCTTGGGGTACACCACTGACACCTCTAGACCATTCAGAGTATGAATCATTACCCACTACTCTCTGAATACGATCTTTTAGCCAGTTTTCTATCCATTTACATTCAGATTTTCTCCAGCCCGTAGACTTTACCTTACACATTAGCCGTGTGTGGGGAACTGTGTCATCGCTTTTGCAAAATCCAAGTATACCACGTCCACCGCCACCCCCGTCCAAGTATACCAAGTCTACCGCCACCCCTCTGTCCAAGTATACCAACATCCACCGCCACCCCTCTGTCCAAGTATACCACGTCCACCGCCACCGCTCTGTCCAAGTATACCACGTCCACTGCCACCCCTCTGTCCAAGTATACCATGTCCACTGTCACCGCTCTGTCCATGTATACCACGTCCACAGCCACCCCTCTGTCCAAGTATACCACATCCACCGCCAACCTTCTGTCCAAGTATACCAAGTCTACCGCCACCCCTCTGTCCAAGTATACCACATCCACCGCCACCGCTCTGTCCAAGTATAGCACGTCCACTGCCACCCCTCTGTCCAAGTATACCATGTCCACTGCCACCGCTCTGTCCATGTATACCACGTCCACAGCCACCCCTCTGTCCATGTATACCACGTCCTCAGCCACCCTTCTGTCCAAGTATACCATATCCACCACCACCCCTCTGTCCAAGTATACCACGTCCAACACCACCCCTCTGTCCAAGTATACCACGTGCACAACCTCCCCTCTGTCCAAGTATGCCACGTCCACTGCCACCCCTCTGTCCAAGTATACCACGTGCACAGCCTCCCCTCTGTCCAAGTATGCCACGTCCACCACCACCCCTCTGTCCAAGTATACCACGTCCATCGCCACCCCTCTGTCCAAGAATACCACATCCACTGCCACCCCTCTGTCCAAGTATACCACGTCAACAGCCACCCCTCTGTCCAAGTATACCACATCAACAGCCACCCCTCTGTCCAAGTATACCATGTCCACCACCACCCCTGTGGTCTTTTATTAAACTCCATTAAAATCTCCAGTATCTTCCCAACTATAGAAGTTACACTAACAGGTCTGTAATTACTTGGGAAAGATTTTGACCCCTTTTTAAATATTGGCCCCACATTGGCCTTACACCAATCCAGTGGTACTATGCCAGTCATTAAGGAGTCCCCAAAAATGAGAAGCAATGGCTGTGAAATGACAGAGCTCAATTCTGTAAGGCCCCGTGGGTGTCTGCCATCCGGTCCAGGGGCTTTATTCACCTTTATTCTGTCTAAATATTTCTGGATCATATCAGTTGTGAGCCAATGTGGATCATCTGGGGGGTGTCAGTACCACACCCATTATGGACAAGAGCCCCCCCATGCTCCTTTGTATACACAGAGCTGAAGAAGGGATTTCATACATTGTCCTTCTCTTTGTCCCCAGTCACCCCCTCTAGATGGTTCTGTAAAGGGCCTACATGCCCGGACCGGACCTTTCTACTATTCATAGATTGGAGGAATGTTTTGGGGTCGCTCCTGATATCTTTTGCAATCTGTTGTTCTTTTTCAATTTTTGTCCCTTTATTTCCTTTTTGCACATTCTGTTCTATTCTTTGTAATGTGTAAACGATGATCGCGTTCCTTCATTTTCATATTTAATAAAAGCTCTTTTCTTATTATCTATAGCCTTTTTAACTTTGTCCGTAAGCCACATAGGTTTGATTTTTAGCCTTTTATACTTGTTGCCCATGGGAATATATTTGCAGTGTGGTCACATAAAGGCTTTTTGAATAACTCCCATTTCTGTGTAGTGTTCATCGATGCCAATATTCCTCCCAGTCTAAGTCTTGGAGAGCAGCTGTCAGCCTTGGAAGATTAGCTCTCTTGAAATTGAGCATTTTTATTTTTCCTGTATGTGCTCGCTGTTTACAACTAACAATAAATGAAATCATGTTATGGTCACTGCTACCCAGATGTTCTTTTATATGGACATTCGTAATAAGCTCTGTATGGTTGGAGATGACCAGGTCCAGCAGAGCATCATTCCTAGTTGGGGCTTCTATGAACTGTACCATAAAATTCTCCTGTAGTAGGTTTATAGATTTTTGCCCTTTAACTGTTCCTGCAGTACCATTACTCCAGTCAATTTCTGGGTAGTTACCATCCCCCATTATTTTCACTGTCCCAGCCCTTGCAGCCCTTGCGATTTGTGCAAGGAGCTGAGTCTCCACCTCCTCATTAACACTGGGAGGCCTATAACAAACTCCAATGATTACCTTTGTAGTACGCCCCCCCATGTGCAGTTCCACCCATAATACTTCAGCCTCATGAAACTTTCACCACAGTCATGTCGGCCCTGCATCTAGGCTTCTCCTTCCTTCACTCCAGACCTGGCTTTTATAGAGAGACCGCCTAGTAACTTGGATCTAACTGTCACTTTTTGTCTTTCTTTAACCCCTTGCCTACCAGTCACTTATACCCCCCTTCCTCACCAGGCCAACTTTCAGCTTTCAGCGCTGTTGCACTTTGAATGACGATTGCGCGGTCATGCAACACTGTACCCATATGACATTTTTATCATTTTTTTCTCACAAATAGAGCTTTCTTTTGGTGGTATTTACTTGCCGCTGGGGGTTTTTATTTTTTGCACTATAAACAAAAAAAGAGCAAAAAATTTGAAAAAAAGGTTTCTTTGTTTCTATTATAAAATTTTGCAAACAGGTAATTTTTCTCCTTTACTGATGTGTGTTGATGAGGCTGCACTGATAGGCAGCATGATGGGCACTTATAGGCAGCAATGATGGTCAATGATAGGCAGCACTGATGGGCACTTATAGGCAGCACTGATAGGCAGCATTGATGGGCACTGATAGGCAGCACTGATGGGCACTGATAGGCAGCACTGATGGACACTTATAGGCAGCACTGATAGGCACTGATAGGCAGCACTAATGAGGTGGCACGGATAGGCGGCACTGATAGGTGGAACTGATAGGCGGCACTGATGATGGGCACTGATAGTCAGCACTGATAGGCGGCACTGACTGGCGCCACTTCTGGGCACTGACTGACGGCACTGCTGAGCACTGACTGGCGCAACTGCTGGGCACTGACAGTCAACACTGCTGGGCTGCACTGAAAGGCACTGGTGGGTGGCACTGATGGGCACAGGTGGGTGGCACTGATGGGCAGAGGTGGGTGGCACTGATGGGCACAGGTGGGTGGCGCTGATGGGCAGAGTTGAGTGACACAGGTGGATGGCACTGATGGGCACAGGTGGGTGACACAGGTGGGTGGCACTGCTGAGCACTGGTGGGTGGTACCGCTGGGCACTGGTGGGCGGCACTGCTGGGCACAGGTGGGTGGAACTGGTGGGTGGCACTTGTGGGCACCGATCATCAGGGTACTGATCATCAGTGCCCTGATAATCGGTGCCGATCCCCGCTCTGACAACTGCTGGTTCTCGGCAGTACTTTCCCCACGTTCTGACAGCATGAAGAAAGTGCAGCCGAGAACCGGCAATTGCATTTCCCTGTGATCAGCGTGTCATTGGACACGGCTGATCACGTGGTAAAAAGCCGCTGTGATTGGCCTTTTAACACATCACGTGATCAGCTGTGTCCGTAGGACACAGCAATCATAGAGATCGCTGGGTGCCCTCCCAGAACTGGCCGGCTGCAGTGTAGCCGTCATTTGGCTATCTACGGTCAGCAACTGGTTAAGCAGAATATAATTCCGGAACTCCTCTACCTGTATATAGTAATGTGAGTATTTCTGTCTTCCATGAAAAGCTGCACAAATATGTGAGAAATGTTCATTACACCGACCCAGACGAAGGCGAGATCTACTTCAATGAGAGAAGAGAAGTTCCAACCAAACTCATTTTATGGAGCTCGGCTAAGGATCACAATTCTTCGTATTCTTATGAATTAATTAGCATTTCACGAGCCCCAAACTACGAGCCGGGAAGATTTGCTGATATGAGTGATCCCAACTTCTGGAAAAGAGGCAAAGCAAGTCGTTTTTTAATAGTTTTTTCATTTCTATCATTTGCTGAGAAGGTTCATGATTAGGATTTATAGGGACATCTTTAAGATATACAGTTCATGAAAAGGATTGAATTCCTGGAGTCCATGAAGGTTGTCGATTGTGAGAATGTTGTGCATGTGGAAAGTTTCCTATAAGATAACCTTCTATTGTATGTATGTATGTGTTATGAGTAAAGTTGGCATTGAACATATCGGGGGGGAGGGGGTGTGTGTAAAACTCTGGACATATATGACGTGGGATTTACCTATTAAAGGAAACAGCAATACTGAAATCAGGAGAGAATCAATAATATATCCAACAAAGACCTTAACCACTTCCCGACCGGCCGTTGCATATAAACGGCCAGATGGTGGCAGTGCAGGGTCAGATGGCCGTTTATAAACGGCCTTCCCGCACCCTGCTTGTGCACGCTCCCTGGGAGCGCGCAGCACCGCAATCCGGTGCCCGCTGTGTCCTCCGGACACAGTGAAACACCGATCGTCGGACGGGACCTCTGTACGAGGTCCCGATCATGTGATCACTGATTGGCCAATCAGTGATCACATACAAAGTAGTAAGCAAGATGTCACTTGTGACAGCATTGCTTACTACGTGTGAAATCTGTGAATGATCACAGAGGTCACATGGTACAAGCCTATTCACAACAGCCTTGTACCATGTGACAACCTGTGACCAATCACAGCTCACTCAGTACTTCTCAATGAGTGCAGGAATGCAGACAGACAGAAAGAAAAATGATTGCTTTTACATCCTATATGGGTGTAAAAGCAATGTGTAAAAAAAAAAAAAAAATCTTCATCACCCCCCACAAGTAGTACAGTGTCACCATGGTGACACTGTACTGCTAGAGTGACAGTATGTAAAAAAAAAAAAAAATAATAAAAAATAATAATATAAAAAAATAAAATAAAAATGTAAAAAAAAATGTTTAAAAATTATAATTTTTGGTTATAAACTAATTTGGATTTTTTTTTTTTACTAAAAAGATAACGAAATAATTATTGGCAAAGATTTATGATGAAATATTATTTATTTGCAAAATTTTATAAAAAAAGCACTTTTTTCAAAATGTTTGGACTTTTTCATTTACATAGCAAAAAAAATAAAAATCCCAGCGGTGAATAAATACCACCAAAATAAAGCTTTATCTGTCTCAAAAAAATGCTAAAAAATTCATTTGGGTACAGTGTTGCATGACCGCGCAATTGTCATTCAAAGTGTGATAGCGCTGAAAGCTGAAAATTGCCCTGGTCAGGAAGGGGGTAAAAGTGTCCGGACTGGAAGGGGGGTGAAAGTGTCCGGACTGGAAGGGGGGGAAAGTGTCCGGACTGGAAGGGGGGGGAAAGTGTCTGGACTGGAAGGGGGGGAAAGTGTCCGGACTGGAAGGGGGGTGAAAGTGTCCGGACTGGAAGTGGTTAAGTAGTTCAGGATGTCTTTATAACATGTCCTTAGCATTCCATAAAAAGTATGAAAGAAATAGAAAGAAAAGAAATATAACTGGGCGCCTCTTTGTGTTCTCCATGTTTTGATGGAAATAAATCCCATAAGAACCTTCCGAGCTCCTAGAGGCGTCTCCTGGATGAATGGCGCCTGACGTTGTAAAATCTATGACAAGGTTGGCAGTTGGTAACACATTGTATTCAGAGACATCCGTCATGACTGGCACATCGTTCACTTCACCCTGAGATTGACTCCAATAACCACACTGACCACAGAGAGACTTCTAACTGCGATGATACTTTATTATTTGTGTCGGCCACAGCTTGATATCTATGAATAACGAACAATCCACCAATAAAATACATCGATCACCAAATCCCTTGCAGTGCGCTGAGTGGTGGATCTCCACTTTGCTTCCTTAGCAGGAGCCAATTCAGACCCCAATTCAGTAGGCTCAGGGGCTTACTTGGGCTTCCCGCTACCAATTCCACCCATATGGAAGAAAAATATTGGATATATATTGGAAAAATATTCTTCCCAAATATATAGACATATATTTGAAATGCTACAATTTTGGCCGTATGCAATATATTTCAATAAATATATATATATACTGCATGATGAAATTTTTTTATTACAAAAGATATGAAAAAAAAATGTAAAAATAAATTTCAATTATACTGTATGTCTTTAAAAATACAAATCTACATTTTTGGAATGCATTTACAAATATATGTAAAAATATCTTAAAATGTAATCTGCTCCGGGTGTTTGCTAAACAAAATTCCAATACGTGTAAATTAATTGATTTACGTGAAAGTTATATTGACTACAAATGGTGGTCTAGATACTGGGTTTTTTTTTTTTACTAGTAATGATGGCGATCAGCGACTTATAGCGGGACTTCGACAGGCATTCTGAAACTTAGCTGAACTGAAATGGTGACACTGACACCTCCAGTGACATCAATACAGTGATCAGTACTAAAGAAAAAGGCATGACACTGTACTAATGGCACTGGGTAGGAATGGTGATCATATCCCCCTTATGTATTATACATGGAGAACACATCCAACCCCCCCCCCCCCCCCCCCTATTTATTATACATGGAGATCATTTGCCCCCCTTATATATTATACATGGAGATCATATCCCCTTATGTATTATACATGGAGATCATATCCCCCCTTATGTATATTATACATGGAGATCATATCCCCCCTTATGTATTATACATGGAGATCATATCCCCCCCTTATGTATTATACATGGAGATCATATCCCTCCTTTATGTATTATACATGGAGATCATATCCCCCCTTATGTATTATACATGGAGATCATATCCCCCCCTTATGTATTATATATGGAGATCATATCCCCCCCTTATGTATTATACATGGAGATCATACCTCCCCCCTTATGTATTATACATGGAGATCATATCCCGCATTATGTATTATACATGGAGATCATATCCCCCCTTATGTATTATACATGGAGATCATATCCCCCCTTATGTATTATACATGGAGATCATATCCCCCCCTTATGTATTATACATGGAGATCATATCCCCCCTTATGTATTATACATGGAGATCATATCCCCCCTTATGTATTATACATGGAGATCATATCCCCCCTTATGTATTATACATGGAGATCATATCCCCCCTTATGTATTATACATGGAGATCATATCCCCCCTTATGTATTATACATGGAGATCATATCCCCCCTTATGTATTATATATGGCGATCATATCCCCCCCTTATGTATTATACATGGAGATCATATCCCCCTTATGTATTATACATGGAGATCATATCCCCCCTTATGTATTATACATGGAGATCATATCCCCCTTATGTATTATACATGGAGATCATATCCCCCCTTATGTATTATACATGGAGATCATATCCCCCCTTATGTATTATACATGGAGATCATATCCCCCCTTATGTATTATACATGGAGATCATATCCCCCCTTATGTATTATACATGGAGATCATATCACCCCTTATGTATTATACATGGAGATCATATCCCCCCTTATGTATTATACATGGAGATCATATCCCCCTTATGTATATTATACATGGAGATCATATCCCCCCTTATGTATTATACATGGAGATCATATCCCCCTTATGTATTATACATGGAGATCATATCCCCCCTTATGTATTATACATGGAGATCATATCCCCCCCTTATGTATTATACATGGAGATCATACCCCCCCTTATGTATTATACATGGAGATCATATCCCCCCTTATGTATTATACATGGAGATCATATCCCCCCTTATGTATTATACATGGAGATCATATCCCCCCTTATGTATTATACATGGAGATCATATCCCCCCTTATGTATTATACATGGTGATCATATCCCCCTTATGTATTATACATGGAGATCATATCCCCCCTTATGTATTATACATGGAGATCATATCCCCCCTTATGTATTATACATGGAGATCATATCCCCCCTTATGTATTATACATGGTGATCATATCCCCCTTATGTATTATACATGGAGATTATATCCCCCCTTATGTATTATACATGGAGATCATATCCCCCCCTTATGTATTATACATGGAGATCATATCCCCCCGTATGTATTATACATGGAGATCATATCCCCCCTTATGTATTATACATGGAGATCATATCCCCCCTTATGTATTATACATGTTCATCATATCCCCCCTTATGTATTATACATGTTCATCATATCCCCCCTTATGTATTATACATGGAGATCATATCCCCCTTTATGTATTATACATGTTCATCATATCCCCCCTTATGTATTATACATGTTCATCATATCCCCCCTTATGTATTATACATGGTGATCATATCCCCTTTATGTATTATACATGTTCATCATATCCCCCTTATGTATTATACATGGAGATCATATCCCCCCTTATGTATTATACATGGAGATCATATCCCCTTTATGTATTATACATGTTCATCAT